CCCATTCACGCCCAAACGCACACTCATATGTACATCGGCACCGTTGGTGCGAATATGGCTGATAAAGTCAGTGATTCTCACACTCAAAAGTCTAAAGTACTCGAATGTTATTGTGAGGTGCTTGATATCTAGCAACAGTCTTCTTGCCAAAATCATCTAGACATGTTCGATAGCCACAATTGCACCAGTATGAGATATATCATGAGACCGAAGAGTATTGTAAAGGGTTCTATGAAAAAACATTCAAACTCTGACTAAAATATGTTTCCTTTCGAAGCATTGCAGTCGTTCTACAACTAATAACAACATCAGTTCTCTGCACGAGAGCATTGGTAAGCGCTGTCGTTTTATGTGAATGACATGTGATTATTGTGCACAATTTCTTGCTTGAAAATCATCCTCGTTTATCGAGATCATTTAGCTGACGAGTGTTTGATTTCTCAGTTAAAAGAAAAAAAACCTATCCATCGTTAAAAGGAGAAAGTTCAAGGGTTAACAAAGACAGTTTTCATTACAATTCGTAGTAGATTTATAGATGGAATACGATAGAATGGCCATAAAGTTTATCAACAAGCTATACTGCTATTAACAAGGTATATTGATGTAACGGTTGCGAGTTCAAGTAGTTATTATTGTTCCATGAAGCTGCAGAGACGAGCAAATTCGACTAGCGACAAAATTTGCTTCGTTTGTCGTAACGAATCCTTTTCCATTAATGACAAGATCCGTTTCGGTTCATTATTGGTGACAAACTTCATCAACTACATTAAACTTCGTCCATCATAATCAAAAACAAGTTCAGACACCTGGACAAGATTATGTTTTGCAAGCCAATCGTGCATTTGTGCTTGCGTCCAGTCTCGCATACTTATAGAAAGATGCTCCGGTATTGTTAGTAAAACAGGGGTGTGGTTGTGAATGTGGATGTTCGCTTGACGTTCACACCCACACCCACATCTTATTGCATCGATTACTACATCATTTATTCGTTTAAAATCTCATAATTTATATGACTTATAACTTATATGACCTATAGATTATTTCGTATTGTACCATACTGCATCATCCTCAGTTGTCAAATCATTATATATTATTTTTCATTTTTCTTGCGCTCCTGTATTTTCTATACATTTTGTTTTTCTCACTCCATCTAATCTGATGAAGATAGCATTCGAAACGCGTTGCTAACATTACCCTATTGTTTATTTCTTATCCAAATAAACTATCTCTATACCTATTCTATTGATTACGTGCTTCGATCCTCAATCCATTTCTTTTGTTGATTCATTCAAATCGTTTTTGATTCCAAAAACTTATTTTTCATTCAATTTCTTCCTTTACCCATCTCCAGATTTCTTCAAAAAAAAAAGAATTATATATATATATATACTTTTATCGTTCCAAATATATGTGAAACGATTTCCTCTATTTCCCATAATTCAACAAAACAAACAAGTCTATTTTGACAACAATCGATTCAAATCTGTAAAGAAGTTAGATCAAATAAATAGTTCAAACTTCACCAATCCTTCATTGACGAATCGAATCGATTCGAATCGATTCATATCAAATAATAATAAAAAATATTTTCTCCTTTTTTTTGTTTAAAAAGATTCTTCAGTGTTCATTAGTTCTTTCTATTAGATTATTATCAGATTACATAGTTGATTCTATTTGTCGATTCGAAAACTACATAAATTATTCCTTCAATTGAATGTGTAAAAAATGAATTTCAACATTATATCATAGACATTTAATTAGGTTCGTTGGCAACAGTATTCTTTAACTTGTACCCTTCATTGGATAATAATGTGCAGAGATTTTAAATTACTATGCTCCGCCAAACAGTTTGAATTTGAGTTTGGTGCATGTCTAGTTATCACATAGAGAAATTCGATGATGATAATACTTGAATAGATTTTGGATACGATTCCCGGTCAGTCCACTTTTTATTTCTATTTTCATTTTTATTTTTATTCACAAACGTACGTTATGATATTTTATTTTTGGAAATATAACAAGGGACATGAATTTAACAAGTCTAATAAGAGAACATCTCAATAATAGTTTTCCGATATAATTATAAATTCGAACAGAAAAATATAAAATTGAATTTCTAAAATATTCTTCAAAGTTCTATTTTTCAATAAAACAATTGCTAATATCTGTAACTTTGACGATACTAATGTAGGTTTGCTTGTAATTTGAAGGATTTTTACATATATTACTAGTTTCTTCAATTACAAAATCATTTTTTTTCTTGATTAAAAAAAAACACTAAACAAAAATAAATATATAATAAACGGCTATTTGCATTATCTACGTTTGCGTTTTCTCTTCAATTGACAAAGTTGATACTTCCAGGAAACCCTATAGAATTGAAAAATAGACAAAAAAAAATTGACTTGATTCATTTACTTACTTTAAGAGCACTACTAACACTATTAATATCTAATAAAAATGTATCATGTCCGAAAATACTATTCAATTCAAAGAATGTTACATCTGGATTTCCTGAAAATATTAACTAAGATATTTATCTTTTTGTAGTCTTATTTTGATCTAACCTGATTTTATAAGTTCGTCAGTTAATTGTTTCTGTTGCCAGATTGGAAAAAGAATATCAGTTTGTGAACCTAAGACAAGTACGGGACATCGAATTTTCGACAAGGCATCAGTCGGCGTATCATATCCTTCGGTTAAATTAAATAAATCTATTGCCTATAAGGAAATTAGTATAAGTTAATATTCATTATTTAGTTTTCTATTAACTTTAGAAATGTATAATAATGAATTAGGATCATAGTTTTTTGTAAATGTTAAACCATGATATTGTAAATAACTTTCAATTTCAAATGTTGGTGTTAATTGAATAGAATCATTAAAACGACGTAAACCAAATCGTTCAAGCCATTCAGATCCTGAACGATCTATAAGCATTCCTATTTCTCTAGCAATACGCATTCCATCAAGTGGATAGACACCTTTATCATAATAGTGACCATGTGTCCAATTTGGATCAGTCATTATCATTTTTCGTTGAAGGTATCGTAGAGCAATAGCAGTTGGACATGGAGCAATACAAGATGAAATAGTCACTACTCTAAATACATGAAACATTAAGAATCAAGCTGAATAATGAGTTATTTACCTGCCAACATTTTCGGAATATAAAAGACCTGAGAGAATTGAGCACATTCCACCTAATGATGAACCAATACTTGCATGAAGCTTTAGTTAAAATAAAAGAAAAAGAAGTAAATTCTAGCATCTTTTGTTATCATTTATACATAAAGTGTCGGAAATTCAGAATTAAAAAAAAATTTTGTTTTCAATTTAGTATCAATGGATAGAATACATTGAGCTATCTATGAATAACTACTTTTCCGATTTTTGGAAACAAGTTTTCCTTAATTCTAAATATCATGATTTGAGTCGTCCATTCTCAAAAATAGATAACTTTGTAGAACATTATAAGTGTTATTTTTTGGTGCTGCGGACAAAATTACCCAAAAAATCTTATGTACATAAGGCTGTTTTTGTTAATTATATTTGAAGGGTTAGGAAATAATTTCTATAATGTTCTACAAAGTGAAAAATAAGAATTTAGTCTTTTTTCCAATATTTCCAGGGAAAATTTGTTTGCAAAAATCAGAAAAGTATTTTTTCATATGTAACTCGATAAACTCTATCCGACGACATTAAATGAATTGAAAACAACAATTTGCTAAAATTTTGAATTTCCAGCATCTTACTTTAGCAATTCCTAAATGTTTAATTAATTGAAATTGTGCACGAACAAAATCTTCGACAGATAACATAGGAAAAGAAGCACCATATGGTTTACTTGTTGCAGGATTTATTGATGAAGGTCCACTAAAAAAATCAAAAATAATCAAAAATTAATAAAAAATATAAACATACGTCGAACCATAACAACCTCCAAGATGATTACAACAAATGACAAAAAAATGGTTAGTATCAATAGCTAAATTAGGTCCAATAATTTTTTCCCACCAACCAACTCTTGGATTTTCCTAAATTTATATTTATATATTGTTATTTATAATTAAATAAAACAAAAATGATATCAATTACATCATGACTTTTTGCATGTGAACTACTACTGGTACCCGTAAATATGAGAACAGCATTGTTTTTTTTTTGCATTTAATTTACCCCATGTTTCATAAGCAAGTTGAAATTCATTTAATGTTTTATTATTATATTTCAATCGAAAAGGTTCATTTTTATATTTATATATTTGATAACCGGATACAGCATGATGATAAGCTGGTTCAGATCCGTTCAAAGAATGTTCCCTAGGAAGAATTTAATGCATATTTTTAGAAAAATATTAGTCATACGTACTGTCGAATGGAACTAATAAGAGGAACATTTGAAATTGAAAAGCGAAGAAATTTCGACAAAAAATGCATTGATCTGTTATATCACGAATAATATTTTGTCTCTTTTCGTGTTACTATGATTTTGAAAGACACCAATATCTACCTTCGTTTCATTTCTGCATCATACGCTCTGTGCGCACGATCAGGTAAAAGAAGACCTTGAGTGTATTGGTTACGATATATTTTGTATCATATTATACAAATATAAACAATACAATATAATCAATGCAAGATCAGTCAAGTATATCTGAATAAAGAAAAGATAAAGCACATATATAAAAATAAAATGAATACTTATTACATATTTTTTTTGAGAAAGTTTTTTTTAGATAAAATAATTTAAGATTATGATATATACTTAGGGCATACCAAAAGTAGTGAGAATGACACTTTAATACCGTATATTAGGCATAGAGAAACCTTCCTTCTATATAGTCTGATAGAGGAAAAAAGTTCTATCTTTCTATGCTATTTGATCATACTTCAACTAATATCCTAATGATAGAATTCCAATAAGATGTGTTTCGTTATCATATGTGCTGGTTGCATTAGTACTCATTTTAAAAATACGATTCAGTATTTTTTGAATAACTATTGATAAAAACAAGAAAGAGAAATGAGGTTTTCGCCATTGGAAAGAGGCGATGAAAACGCATCGAATCACATATTCCAGGTTTTCCTAATCTGTCTTTGGTAAAGTTCTCCATTGATCTTTTTAAGAACAAACTTATCTAGTAATTTGCCTACATGAATTTTCAATTATCAAGTATAAATTCGACCCATTAATCGAAGAATTACAAAGTGCAGAAGACTGAAATGAATAATATGCATTCCAGTCGAGTCTTTAATATGATTTTGTAGCAAAGTCTGTGAAAAAAACTCACTTTTGTGCTTTTTACTTTTTTTCATAAAAAAAAAATTTTCCGATTGTTAGAAAATTAAATAAAAATACTTCAGAAATCAACATTAGAAAAGCCTACAATACACCATTCGATGCATCTTCATCTCCTCTTTTCAACAGTGAAAGCCGCACTTCGCTGTCTTATTTTTATTAACAGTTATTCAAAAAATACTCACTAACATTCATAGAACTGTGACACATGCGAACAAAACCGATCTTATTGAAATTCTATCATTAGGATATTAGTTGAAGTATGATCAAATATCATAGAAAGATAGATTTTTTTTCGCTATCAGACTGTATAGAAAGACAGTTTCTCTAAGCTTACTATACGGTATTAAAGTGTTACTCTCACTACTTTTGGTATGCCCCACGTAACGTTGTTATTTAATAAAATGCAAACCAATATATCCTATTCAAATGTTTGAATGTTTTTCATTCATTTCTGTAGACATTTTTGAAATTTTTCTTCTAAAGGTGGTAGATTTAGTGCACTATGAGGATCAATGGTTGATGGTCTACATGTACAATAGATAAGCCTAAGGCAACACCTGTAGAAAGAGTTAGCACGGTTTGACTAGTTATTAAGAATAAACAAAAAAAATTGTTGCCAAAATATAAAGATAAGGCCATGTGTATGTTTGAAAAAATCGTAGTTTTAAGGCAAAGAAGATTGGAAATGCTCGATAAATATATTTGAGTATTGACTATGATTTTCTTAGTTTGACTAGTTGAGCATCAATCATAGTATAAAACGATAGTTTGGAATCTAGGTGAAATCCTTGGTATTTGAATGAATTTTGTCGTTGAATAGATTGTCCTTAATAAGTTATTTGAGTTTATGAACTTGAACTATCTCGTAATAAATAACGAATTCAGTTTTCTTTTTATTCACCGGTTGATGATTGGAATCGGCGTACTCTTCGAGTTTGACAAGGTCGTTGTTTATTCTTGTTTGAATTCAATCTAATTACTTAGGGTTATCCAAAAGTAGTGGGCCAGGTTCTTTTTTTTCTTATAAATAGCTAAAAAGAAATTTCTTTTTTTACGAATAGATAGAGCGTCTTTCGCTCTATGTTTCTATGCTATTTGATCACTATTCAACTGGTATCATAATAATAAAATTTCGATAAGAACTTTTTTTGTGTAACTCCAGCTGGTAGCAATAGTGCATATTATCATCCATGCGTGTTTTCTTTGTTTTTTTCTCATCATCTAATAGGTTTTATTAAAAAACAAAATACAGCACAAGATGCAGCGTAAAAAGCTCTACAATTTACATACGACCACTTTTTTTATAGTTGCACTTTTTGTTTTCAAATTGGACAAAACTTTGAGCGACCAAATTTTGACCGTGCGAAAATTGGTAGCACAGAATTTTGCTTTTTTTGAAAACAATTACAATAAGCTTTACTATGTAAATTGTAGAGCTTTTCACGCTGCATCTTGTGGTATATCTCGTTTTTAATAAAACGTATTAGATGATAAAAATATGAAATAAGAAAAAAGAAATTTCTCTTTTGTGTAGAAAAAAATGATTTTTTTGCAACGGCGAAAACTGGTCGCACAGAATTTTGCTTTTTTTGAAAACAAAAAGTACACAATTAAAATAAACTGTTTTTTGTAAATTGTAGAGCTTTTCACGCTGCATCTTGTGCTGTATTTTGTTTTTTAATAAAACCTATTAGATGATGAAAACACGCATGAATGATAATATGCACTATTGCTACCAGCTAGAGTTTCACTAAAAATGTTTTTGTCGGAATTTTATTATTATGATACCAGTTGAATAGTGATCAAATAGCATAGAAAGATAGAGCGAAAGACGCTCTATCTATTCGTAAAAAAAGAAATTTCTTTTTAGCTATTTATAAGAAAAAAAAGAACCTGGCCCACTACTTTTGGATAACCCTAAGTATTTTGCATATTTCAGGTATATTGGTGGAGAATATAATATAGCTAAATTATTGACATATAGGTGAACTTCACGTCAACAATCGAAGATAGTTGGTAAATCGAAATGATTTACAATATCCCATGTAGCCAATAATGGATAAATAATGGAAAATCGTCCATTATTTTCCATTATTTTATGAAATAATGCGTTTCAATTAATTTTTTTCGCGTTTTCTGCGAATTTTTTACGAATAATGCTGAAATTTATGACAATGCATTGGTAGTCCATGCATTTCAATGCATTATTTTAAAAAATGTTCAAGTTCCGAATAATGCATTGAATGGCAATGGATTTCAATGAATTAACTTAAATAATGCTAAAATTTCTGAGAATGCGTTGGCATTTAATGTATTTCAATGCATTATTTTAAACAATGTTGAAAATTCTTATAACTCCTTAAAGCTTCAATGCATTTCAATGCATTATGTTAAATAATGTTCAAATTCAATATAATGCATTGACTAACAATGCATTTCAATGAATTATTTTAAATAATGTTGAAACTTCGGATAACCCGTTAAAAATTCAATGCATGAAAAGTCAATGGATTGGCATGCATCATTAAAAATAATGTAGAAATGACTCGAAATTATATGGAAGAGAAATGTATTTTAATGCATTGTTGAGTGATAATTTTATAACTAGTGAAAATGCTTTGAAGAAAAATGGATTGCTATGCATTAGGAAACATGATGTAGAAGTTTAGTTGAAGTTCCATAAATCTGTAAATGCATTTTAGGGCATTATTAGCTTTAGTATTAGAGTTTTGAGAGTTTGCAATGTTGCGAGAAAGAGAGGTTAATAGATAATTGTTGAAGTAATCTAAACGAGAGCGCTAGGACATGTTTTATATTAAGTCAATTCTAATAGGAATCTTCCAAATTTGGAAATCTACAAAAAGTGCAAGTCTTATTTGTTCGTTCTTAAAAGACATATTTTTCGACGATGTCGCTTACACGAATGAATACCCTGTTTGCCTCTTCTTCCAAAGATCCTATTTGAATAGAGGATAATCACAGGTTTCACTTGTTGGTCAGATGATAAAATCAGCCATTTTCGAGGGTAGGTGCGGTTTACATGTAGGTTTGTACAAGTGGTGGACGTAAAGGTGTGCAGATGAGTATGTGGCGGCGGAGCTCTGTAGGGTATCAGTAAACTGTCCTAACAGGACAGGCTAGGTTGCGCAAGTTATATGACAGAGTAAGGTTACACGATTTTTTACAGAGGGGATCATAGGTTACTGAAATCATAACCTTTCAAACTATGGTAGAAAGGCAACCGTCACAATGCTGTAAAACTTTCAACAAACCATAGAAGTGACTTTGAGTTAGATGAGGTCATTCACAGATTTCTTTTCAATGAACAATAGTAATGTTTTATTTCTCGTTCAATTATCTCATTTTAGCACACATCATTAGCATTTCTTCTGAACTTCTCTTCTCTTTTTTTATTCCGAGGCTCACTTTTCTCAGTTTGAGGATTCTGTGATCTACTCCTAGGTGTTTTCTAATCTTAATAGGTCCGAATTGAAGAGGTTCTATATATTACTTTGGTTTACACATGAGTTGTTTGTAAACATGCAGCGCGAACGGCAGAGTTTTCTATGTAATTAAAAGCTGTACCGAAGCATCTACTATCTGCAAAAGAAAAACTACTAGGATCGCTTGTTTTTCTAGAACAAATATTGTTTTCGTCAGATTTTTGTACCATAAATAAACAAGTGTTCACTTCCAACGAAATCTTTATCCAGAACTTTAATAATATCTTTTCTCTTCTATATAGTTCATCTTCGTTCATACTGGTTACAACACAATTGAACTTTCTGGAAGAAAATCTTCCATTTTAATACCCAGAAGCTTATCTGCAAGGTAGGACAAGTCACAGGTTATGAAAAAAAATGACAGGGTACGGTGAGGCAGGTTAAGATCGAAATATTACAGGGTAGAGCAGGATCAAGTCTAGAAAAATTTATAGGACAGATCATAAGTTGTAAAAAATACGTACTCTGTATGTCTTTAGTAGAGTCTGGATGTGAGTTAAGTTAACAACTATATCCAAACTAACATCCAACTCACACTGTACTCTATTGACACTGGGAGTAGTCGTTTGTTATGGTTCTAGATTGAATATGAGACTAACAAATACATTTCATTCTTTAATCTTCTTTGTTGAATTTATTTTGTCTAGTATTTTTCTTCATATGATATTGCTACCTATACCGGTTACAAATGATATTCTATTCAAATAACACTGCCAATACAATTAGCAAACCTTTCTGTATTTCTCTTTATTTCGAAGGCACATAGTCAACTGTTTCCTTCGAAAATTTATTCATGTAAGACTTCTCTACGTTCTTCGTCATGAAAAGTAGTAGATTGATAGTCATTTATTTTCGAACATTATTTTATGTTTATTTACCATCATATGAATAGAAATATATTCGTAGTTATTTCTTGTTGAATTATATTTTTCGTTTATTTCGTATCACACAAACAAGAAGTTGCAATGGCGACTTTTTTGTTGAATGTTGTTTTCCGTTTATTTCCTACAATTTAAATATGAATATGTTTGTAGCTTTTTTTGTTGCTGAACATTATTTTTTGTTTATTTCCTTCCATAGGAATAGGTATGTTTTGGTAGTTATTTGTTTTTGAATATTGTTTTTTTGGTGTGTTTTCTCTCATGTGAATAGGAATATGCACATAGTTATTTGTTTTGGAGTATTATTTTTCGTTTATTTGCTACCATATGAATAGGAATATGCTCAGTTATTTGCTTTTCAATATTGTTCTTCGTTTATTTCCTACCACATGAATAGGAACATGTGCATAGTTATTTGTTGTTGAATATTGTGCTTTTGTGCGTTCCGTATCATGTGAATAGGAATATGTTCATAGTTAATTGGTTTTGAGTATTGTCTTTCGTTTGTTTCCTGTCACACGAATAGGAATATATTCTTGGCCATTTGTTTTTGAATATTGGTGTAGTTAGTTGGGTTTGAATAGTTATCAGATACCTGAATACTATTTAAGCCAAGGATAAGTATAATAAGAAATGCGTTAAGTGGGATTGATATCTGTATGCATGAGCATGCATGCAGTTTTGAATGCATTGTAATGCATTGAAAAAATTTAATGTATGCAATTATATGATAATGCAACTTATTTAATATAGTATAATGCATTGAAGTGGTCATCTATTGCAATGAATCAAACTAAGAAATACATTATAATGCATGAAATGGGTTGCATTATCATGCAATTGCGCTCATTGCATTTTTTTTGGAAAATAATGCATTGCAATGTACATTATTTCACAAAATCGGCTACATGGGTAGTAACGATTGAGTTAGTCGTTCTATGAGGTGATTGACTCTTGTTAATGTAGATAAGTATGGTCTCCATTCAGATTGTTGAGGAGGTAAAATATTGTTAAATTCTAACCATTTGTCAAATCTTAGAAGGAATAGTTTCTCGTATATTTTGCTAAAGGTGGAAAGAAGTGATATTGATCTTAATTGGTTTGCAGTTGAAGCTGGATGTTCTACTTTGTTGAGACATATTATGCGAATCTGTTTCCATTTTTTGTTCCAGTATGCACATCTAAATAAGCTGTTATATGCGAAGATAATGATGGATAAAAAACATTCCGGTAGCGATTTAATTATTTTATTCGATATGTTGTCAAAACTTGATGAGTTTATATTATTTAAACTTTTGATACTTAACTTAAGACCTTGAACGGTATATTTGAGATCAGAATTTTCACAAACTAGTTCGATGTCTTCTTGATTGGAATTGGATAGTGTATTCCATAGACTAGAAGCTAATACGGCGGTGGTATTGTTCATGTTGGCGGTGAAGGTTGGTGATTGGAGGTTGTTGAAACTTTTCTTTAGAAGATTGTTTATTGTTGTTCTTGATGACTCACCGGTCTTTGTCATCACTTAAAAGTAATGAATAGGGTGATGAAAAGGAAAAGAAGAGAAAGAAAACCAATCGTTCACAAGTATAAATGTGAAAGTATATCAGATATGTAAAACACGTGCGATCACTATCGATGCATACAAAGGAATGAGTCAGATGAATATGCGTATACATTTATTATTATTCATATGTTACTTTTTCATATATTTTTTTGCGCATAGAAACATATTTTTCATAATAAGATATGAATAATAATAACCTTGTCAATGAAAACGAGATATCTATTTGTATTTTGTTTTAAATTTCTATTGAAAACTCTCTTGATTTCCTTCTGCATTACATCTAAATAATTCAAACAAAAAAAGAAGCCATATGAAGCTGATATCTACACCGATTCATGCATCTGGCGTGCCAACACCAATAAAGGCTATACCGATATCACCAGCAAATACACCAAATTCAATTAAGTTTCTAATCGGTGGTACAGCTGGGTTTGTAACCAAAAGTTTCTTATTTTATTTTTCTTTTTTATTCAATTTTATATTTAGTATGACTGCTACTTTATTTGTTCATCCAATGGAAGTAGTCAAAAATCGAATGCAAATGAGTGGTGAAGGTGGTGGAGTACGAGAATATAAAACAACTTTCCATGCATCAAGAGCAATACATCGCAGTGGAGGTTTAAGTGGTATTTATGCTGGGTAAATAATTATTTGTAAGATTGAAATTTATGAAATATAATTTATTTTAGTCTTTCAGCTGGTTTATTTCGTACAGCAACATATACAACAGCTCGTTTAGGAATCTATCAAGTATTATTGGAACATTTTCGACAACCAGATGGTCGTCCACCACGATTTTTTGTTAATCTTCTATTAGGTGTTGCTAGTGGTGGTTTAGGTTCATTTATTGGTACACCAGCTGAAGTAGCATTAATTCGTATGACACTTGATGAACGATTACCTATGACTGAGAGACGAAATTATGCACATGTATTTGATGCACTCGTACGTATTACACGTGAAGAAGGTGTTTTTAAATTATGGCGTGGTGGTATACCAACAATAACACGAGCTATGATTGCTAATGCTGCACAAATGCCGACTTATTCACAAGCTAAACAAGCACTTATATCAACTGGTCTTATGCAACAAGGTTTTCCTTTACATGCTGTTGCATCATTAATTGCAGCCTTTGTGACAACAGCTTTTTCATTACCAGTTGATATTATTAAAACTCGATATCAAAATATGAAAGTCATACAAGGAAAACCAGAATATACTGGAATATTTGTAAGCTATTATTTATTAATTTTTTATGTAAAAATCTACTAAACAAAAATTACACTGTATCATGACAAACTATAATATAATACTATGTACTGAAAAAAAACATGTCAAAGCGCTTCTCTTCGCAGTCAAAATTTGAATTGACTTGAAAAAAAGCTGTAAGCGCAATCCTTGTAGGATTAAAATGTAAAACATGATGCGACTGCTGTTGCTGATCACAGGGAGATTGTTTTGATTGTATATCAAGAACGTCTATGATGTTTCTATAGTTGTGTTTGTCATATCTGTGATGAACCGTTGCTAAGGTAGTAGCTTCCAGGACTTATTTTCTCGAAATTTATTAGGACTCGAGAGTGTGGAAGATATGTATAATAAACCTGCTGGAAGAATAATATATTCGGAATACATCCGATAGAATTTATAATAGGAATCTTTTCATTCTATATTAATCAGAAGAAAGCCCTGAGTAACAAAAAAAAGAGTAAACCGACTAAGGATTCGAACTTTAGATGTATGAACTGCAAAGTCATCACTCTAATCACTGATAAGGGAATCTCCTTAGATGTTCTTTTTCGATTTCAATGGTTTTTTTGCCTATAGATACTGAATAGTGTTCTAATAAAACACTAAAAAGATTTGGATCCCGATTAAGATTTGATTAAGATGTTGAATTTTTAATATGTCTATTTTCTAGAAGTCATAGGCTTTCGGAAAACTCATATTTTTAAATTTTAATCTGAAAGTTTGCGCATCAAGAAGATTCAACTAGACTAGCTTCCATAAAAAAGATGCAAAAGTTTTGAACAAAGTCTCTTGTAGATATGAAGCTTTCAAAAAATCCATGGGACATACACTACTCATTGAAAAATAGTCTATATCTTGAAAGTCTCATATCTGGAGGAGATTTTGTTCAAAACTTATGAATTCTTTTATGGAAGCTAGTCTAGTTGAGCTTTCTATATATACTAATTTTCAGATCAAAATTCGAAATTACGAGTTTTTCGAAAATGTGGGATCAAAATGCATTAAAAATTTGATAAGTTAATCAAATACTAATAGGAACCCAAATAATTTTAGGATTTTTATTAAAACATTATGTACTATCTATACGTAAAGAATCGTTAATATCAAAAAGGAATATCTGCGAAAGTTCTGTCGAGAGCCATTCGGTATTGTTAGTTAGTTGTAAAAATTTTACAATAGTGATTATTGATATTAATCGATCCGTTGAGGAATTATTTGATGTTAAGGAGTTTACATGACAACCATTGTCATACAATAATGTTTTGAGGATGAATCTACTGGAAAAAAAATTAATCCAACGATAAATTAATTTATATTGATATATATTTAGATTAAGTTTATAAATGACATGATACTTCTTTAACATACAATATCGAAAAAAACAATCCCATAAATCCCAAAAAATAAACCAAGTCTCTGCAACCTTTCAACTATCGTTATTTGAACATCC